TCTTTGCATGGAGAGTCGAGACAGAGTCGAAGCCGTAAACTATGGAATGCAGACGTCAAGCAGAACACGTGCCAATGCAAACCCAATTATTTTGTCCATTTTTATGAAAAATTCGTCAATATTTTCATTAACTTGTCATGTGAACAACCAATTAATCATATTTAAAGGGTATTTTTATCAAACCAACTTCTCTACTTAATAAGAATATTGACAGATTGTTCATAGAATGACCAAAATGATTTACGATGGACAAACTCAATGACCATTTATATCGATTTTCATCGTTAAGGATTAAAATAAAGAGTTATGTTAATCTCAAAAACTATTTTGGGTAAAAAAAACTGAGTTAATTTGGTAAGAGTGAGTTTTTTAGGGGAAAAAGAATTCAGAATTGGAGCTCAATCTAAAGTTAATATGCATATAAAAAAGAAGCAAAATTTGCAAACCCATCTCATACAATTGGTTCTAAATTAATTTTTTTTTTTTTTAGTTAATATCGTTTGTATCAAGGAAATGAACCAATTTTTACTTTTTTTTTTTTCTTTTCCTCCGTGCGGTGAAGGTTTGATGTTTTCAAAACATAAGCACCTTGATGTTGAGGGTTATCCACATGCAGATTGAGCCGAATCTGTTATAAACAGATGATCTATCTCATGTTATTTTCCATTTATTGTTATTGTTGTTGTGTTAAACAGATGATTGACAAAGTAAGAATTATAATGTTGTTGTTAAATCAAGTATTGAACCATATCGAGGTATGTCACTCGATATTTGTGAGTGACCATAAACAAGTAATGTGTCGACCAGATTAAATTTTAAGCTCGAAAGGTCCGTACAATTGCTTTTGATAATAAATGTCTACAATCAAATTTAGCATGATCGAACCAAAAAGCTTAACGTTGTTAATGAGTATAAGTTAAAGAAAAATGATAAAGGAACTCTTTTAATGTCACATTCCAATCTCAGTTCTGCCATAGTATGATATTGAGTATGATATTGTCCGCTTTGGATCAGAAAAGCGAAAAATTCCAATTCGCCAATGGTATATGTTTATTATTTGTGTAGATGCTTAAGTTTCCTGGTGATAAATTCAACAATGGAGGAAATATCCGGAATGTTCTCGATGTGGGTTGTGGAGTTGCAAGTTATTAAATTTCTGGTAGACGGGCTGATGACCCACTTCAACAACACCGATACTGTCCCTACTTGGCCACCTGCTCAATCCATTAGGTGTGAGGTTTTTATCACAAAAGATGTGTCTACTCAAATGAAGAGTTGCAACTTTTGACTCTTCATGAATAGTCACATGTTTTCCAAAGATGTATCTCACATTCTATGAATAAGGAAGCCCTCTATAATCACAATAATAACTTAGTCTCATTGAGTCTATATAAGAGAGTTTTCAACACAATCGTGATTCATGGAGCCTTGTGATTTGAAGTACTACTATTATAAGCCTCGACCGTATTTTTTACGTTCTTCTGATCCATTATATCATGTTTATTTAACATCGGTTACTCATGTGCATGCATTATTGTGATATATAATTACATGAATTATTTCTTGGTGATATATAATTACATGAATTATTTCTTGATTTTTTATGTGATTTATTATAGCAAGACGAGAGCTTCCCAGTATGTCACCCATCCTGGAAATGTTATAGCTTAAAATCGCTTAACTTTGGAGTTCCGATGGAACCCGAAGCCAGTGAGTTCCCAAAAAGCCTCATGCTATAAGAGGTGGGCATGTACGTATAAAGCACATCAACTCCTCTCCCTTGGTCGATGTAGGATGTTACACTTAAAATTGGACTCTACACCACTTCACTGTTTAATGTCAATTCTCGTGCTAACATTATAAAATATTATGCTAAAAACATTAGATGACAGAGAGTTTACATAAGATGACGGAGAGTTTAAATTTTGAGAGAGTCTCTTTAGTATTTCTCTAAGTTAAAACCTTAGCATAAGTTATGTTCGTGACAATAGCATTTTTGGAAATCTATTAAGGTTGATTATTTCGATTCAATGAAATGATATCTTGATCCAATTGATAGAAGTGCAATAATGTTAACTCACGTTTAACTATAAAAAATAAATAAATAAATTATTGCTTAAGTTTACGTCGAATTAGATGGAACCTTTAATCAATCATTTGATTAATGCTATTAAAAAAACACTGCGGGATGATGACAGGAAGAACGAAACATAAGGTTACATTGTTGTTTTCACACTCAAATAGTATCACTCTACTATACTAAAAATAAATTAAGATTTCTCTCCTCCAAATTTCATTCTCTTTCACCCGTCTCTTCTTATTTGAAGTCACACTAACATTGTGTGTTGACTTCTTTAAAGAAAAAAATGCAAAACTATGATTGAGAGAAATGCATTATATGAGTATTATATAGGCATGTAAGAAAAATTACATACCTTTGCCATGATTGCTATGATCGGCTTAGGATGTAAGCCACAAAGTAAGACCGCCAATGGCGCCCAAATTGGAAGGGCCCCCCCTCCCTCCCCCTTCCCCTCCCCTCGCCCCTCAACGAGTCCCCCTCCCCTCCCCCCCCTCACCCACCTCCCAAAAATCGGAAGGTCCCCCTTCCCTCCTTCCCAAATGGAAAGGGCTCCCACTTCCCCCCAAAAATTGGAAGGCCCCATCCTTCCCCCAACCAATTTTTTTTGTATCTTAGGTAGAGCACTTACAAATACGAAAAAAAAAAAAAAAAAAAACAAAGATGATAACAATCAATGTACAGGCCCGCCTCTGGAAGGGTTGTACCACCAGTTGGTCCATTTTTTTTCAAAAAACAAAAATTCAACGTATAAGTGGTGAGTGGTAAAGTGTTAGTATTGTGTGCCAAGTGGTCTTGTGTTTGAGTTCTTGTGGAGCACTAATTGGTGTTTTTATCTTTCTTTTGTTTGGTAAACTTCAAATTTTCTTGGAAAAGGTTTGCACAGAGAAATTTGAGTAATCAATGATCATCCAACCAATTAGATAACAATAGCTTTCTTTTTTCTTTTCTTTTTTTTTTCCTTCTATTGCATGATTAGGCGTCAGCCTGGTGGTCGGAAAATAACCTTCTTCGGGTGCGGAGGTGAGAGGAAGACAAAAAGAAAAGACATATTGAAGATAGTGGCCGCAACACATTTGAGTATTACAAAATTTTAGGTAACAAAGGCCTAATTTAGTTTTTGTTATGCAGGTGATTTATAACTCAAGTAGTTAAAAGTATCTTTTACGAAGATCACGTGTTGATTAATTCCGTCTTACTTTAATCCAGTTCTCCATGTAGACATTTGAGTTTGATTATGATATTTCTTATTTCCAGGAGGATTCTCTCCGGATCATTTTTATAAAGATCTTGGCGATGCTCAAATCGTGTAAGTTCATCGTATATTGTGCGGTCAGTTTTCGTCATATACTATTCATATTTAATTTAAAATAAAAGTATTTAAAATGATTTTTAACAGCACGATGTATAATAAACGGACACAGTTTGAGGATCCCTAAGATGCCCACAAAGACAAGAATTCTCTTTGTTTCTTACTTTTCTCACATGGTAGGCCCTTCTACTTCTCTTTCTTTCTCTGTCTAGACTTTGGGGTTTGCTGTTGCTTGAGTATCTACGTAACTTACAGTCTTCATACCACTTTCTGGAGGCTTGCGGTCGGAAACTCTTACCACTTTGCATTGACTTATTCATCCACCATCCCGCCGCCGCAACTGTTGAAACTTGAAACAACACCTAATACTCTCACAAATCCTCCAATCTTATCCCTTCTCCACTCAAAGTCTAAGCCCCACTCTCACAAATCCAGTGTGTTTACGGAATCTTACTTTTGACACCACTTACATATTTTTTTTGAGAAATGAAAGATTAATTAAGAGAGGGAGAAACCCTGAAAACACCCAAGACCTCTAGACTCATACATCAACGGCGGCTTTTTAAGGAACACATCCATCCCAAACATATAACTTATTACAACTATACCCAATAGAAGTGATGGCATCCTTCACAAATAATAGAGTCAAACGAAGAAGCAAGCCATTTGTTGTCTTCCACAATAGCACGAATACGCCAAGGGATGGTGCACTTCCGTAGTAATAGTTTAATGACAATCTTCGAGTCTCCATCGATCAAAATCTCTATGAGACCCCGAGTCTTAGCGAGTATTAAGGCATCCCGAGCTGCTAATACAAAACCAACCACATGAACTATGAGTTTTGGATGTCTAACATTTTTTTAAGCATACAGCTCCAATATATTTAAAAAAAACATGGATGAGAATTTCAGCTAACCAGCGTCTTCGGAACACAAATATTTCATATGTCATTCCAAATATAGGAACACTTAAAAATACTTTCCTCAAATCTAAAAATATTGATGTACTCAAAAAAAAAAAAAAAAAAACTTTCCTCCACTCGGATAACAACATTTGGCTATCTATTTTTATACATTGAAATATTTTTTAGTGTCAAAATATTGATGTACAAAAAAAAAAAAAAAAAAAAACTTTCCTCCACTCGGATAATAACATTTGGCTATCTATTTTTACCAACAGGATCCTCTTCGGATTCTTTTAGTAAGGATCTTAAATATCCGTGAATTGTGTACTTTTATCGTACATCGTGCGATCAGTTTTTTATCAGGTACTCTTGAGTTTAATTTTAAATAAAATATTTAAAATAACTTTTAAGCGCACGATGTACGATGAATATACTTGATTCGTAAATCTCTAGAATTCTCGCAAAGAGAATTCGACAAGAATCCGGATTCCTATTTTTATGCATTGAAAATTTTCTCCAAGCTGACAGCCCAAGGGCCCATTATTCGTAAGGGTAATGAATAACTGACTGACAAAAAACGTCAAGCGATACCGCCAAAGCGCACGCCTCACTTTGATTCCTTCATTCGCTGGACAGAGTATTCCATGGGGTCAACACCATGCTACAGGACACACCAGCAGCTCACAGATATTTACTGCCACCCGCACTCTACTCTACTATTCCGGCTTATCTATTTATTTATCTGTTTGCGAACTTATTTCACCATTGCTATCACTCGTACTTAAGGATATTAATCACACTCATACCCACCACCGCCTTCCTTATCAGGCTTAAATTAATACACTTCGAAAAGCTCTTGTGCTTTTTGGGTCTAGATTCCGCTTTTTAGATGTTACCTGCAGACTAGAACAAGATTCAGAGCAAACCCCATGTGCCCACACCACCTGTTTGGTCAAAATGTCTAAGTGAAGCAAACGCATGGGAAAGAAAGAGAGAGAGAGAGAGAGAGAAGAAATTCCAAAGTTTGAATTTTTAAACCCATAAAATAATTGCATGGCTTGCAGAGCTTCAACAGACATCATTACAGCTAATCACGATCATTGGCATTGGCGATCTGCTTGAGAGCTCCCCAAGTCTCTATAAATACCAAACACTCTATGTCTCTCTCAGTCTTGTAGTTGTTGTTTTTAAGTCTTTTAGGTGATTCTTTGCAGACCCAGATAAACATTGGGATCTGGGTTTATTGTTTAGTGTGCTGTGGGCAAATTCCCTGGAAACCCATAAGTGTTTTGGGATTTGTGCTTCTGGGTTTCATTTGCATCTCTTGACTTTGATCTATTCTGTCTGCTTATAGTGATTGAATTTATGCTTTGTTTGCTTGTATTTGTCTTTGCTTAATTGATTAAATCATGGGTGGTCACTCTCCATTTGCATTTCTCTGCATTTTGCTTCTTTTCTTGGGAGGTTGTTTTGCTTCTAATCAAGATCAAGTGAGGGATAGAATCACACAGTTGCCAGGACAGCCAAGTGTGGGGTTTGCTCAGTACTCCGGTTATGTGACTGTCAATAGGAAAGCCGGTAGGGCATTGTTTTACTGGTTGACTGAATCACCGGAAAATCGCCAACCCGAGTCTAGACCTCTAGTGTTGTGGCTCAATGGTGGCCCTGGTTGCTCTTCTGTTGCTTATGGAGCAGCTGAAGAGATTGGACCTTTTCATATTAGACCTGATGGAAAGACCCTTTACTTGAATCCCTATGCTTGGAACAATTGTATGTATAGATGCATATTCTCTACATTAACTACAAAGTTGTCATTTTTTGTTTGGTTTGTTCTAATTGATTTACAAATATATGGCAGTGGCAAATTTGCTATTCCTTGAATCTCCAGCTGGTGTCGGTTTTTCATATACGAATACAAGCTCAGATTTGTATACAGCCGGAGACCAGAGAACAGGTTGTTGCTCACTTTAGTTTTGTTTTGTAACGTTATTGGATCTATAGTTTCTAAATCGGGAAGGCTAGAATTTGGAAAATTCTTGAGTGTGTGAATCATGTTTCTCTGTTTGTAAATCAATTCATTTGAACATTTCTGAATCTTCTTGGTATTTGGTTGTCTTATATCTATAGCCCAAGATGCATATGCATTTCTAGTCAATTGGTTTGAAAGGTTTCCACAGTACAAGCACAGAGATTTCTACATTGCTGGAGAAAGTTATGCAGGTGCTTATAATTCATTTTTGCTCGATTTCTACGTGTACTTGATATGATGATGATGATGATGATGAGTTTGTTTTAAAATTTCATTTTCAGGTCATTATGTTCCTCAGTTGTCTCAAATCATTTATGAGAGAAATAAGGGAAAGCAGAACCCAATTATTAATTTCAAGGGATTCATGGTAAGAAAGCAGGATTCTTTTGAATTGCAATTCTGTGCATATATATTCTGCCTCTTTCCTAAATTAGAGGGTGCTTGGTACAACCAACGTAAATGCTTTGACATGTTATTTGAAGAATACTAATAAAAAGATACTCTTTACCTTTTTCACAATCGAAATAGTACTTGATTTATTATTTTACTACTTTTGTAAACATTTAAAGTTACGTGTTGATCACCCTATCAATTTAAGCAACTTATGACATAAACTTTAAACTACAGCTTAATTTTATTTCTGTTTGTTTTTAATTTTTGTTCTATTTTATTATGAAAACTTAAGAAACTATTCTTCTGCCCCTATATTTTATTTAATTTTATTCACTAGTACAATACCCCTATTTAAGAGAACTTACAGAATCTGAAATGTGAGTTAAAGCAAGTCTAGTGGAAAGGCAAGGGCTAGGTGCTAGCGGCTTTATTTGGCCTCTCAAAATGCCATTATTCATGAAATCTAGCCCTCTCACAATTTTGTTGTTCTAATGGTGTGAGAGGCGAGGGGCTAAAAAGTGTTAGGTGGCTAGTTTTCATTGGCTACTCAATTTCTTCCCAAGTTGACCATTCAAGAGCCTTGGGCAAGAGCCGCGGCTAAATTGGTCCCTTGAAGAGCCCTGGGCTATTTTAACCTATTCTATGTCCGCTTAGAAATTGATTTTTTTATTTTTTTCATTTGGGGCTAAATAACAACTTTGCCCAGGCTAGTTTGCATGCATTAGATATGCTTAGTGCCCAATTTTATGATAACTAACCTATTTACATGTGTGTATATATCTTCTTGATTTATTTCTTCTTGCCAGGTGGGAAATGCCGTGACTGATGATTACCATGATTTTATTGGCACGTTTGAATACTGGTGGAGCCATGGTTTAATTTCCGATTCTACCTATCGGGTGCTACGTGTAACCTGTGACCTTGGATCCTCTCAGCATCCATCAGTGGAATGCATGAGGGCGCTTAAAATAGCAGAAACGGAGCAGGGAAATATCGATCCATACAGTATTTATACTCGTCCTTGCAATAGTACTGCATCCTTAAAGCGCAATTTGAGGGGTCGCTATGTAAGTTCTGATTTAAAAATTCTCTCCCTTACTGTCGATTTTTCCCGACAGTCACCATTTTCTACTTACTTGAAGATGAAAGTTCTGATTCTGAATTTTGTCATTGATGGCAAAAGTAGTTAAAATTTGGTTGCTTATGTTTCATTACCACATTAGCATCATCAATATGCTCCTCTTAGTCTTAGAATTTTCTCAATTGCCTCTTTTCCTTTAAATCATTCAGAAGATCTGTTTGTTAATCTTACTCTGTATAAACTCAGCCATGGATGTCCAGAGCATATGATCCCTGCACTGAGAGGTATTCTGAAGTGTATTTCAACCGTCCAGACGTTCAAAAGGCACTCCATGCCAATGTAACTAGAGTTTCTTACCCATGGAAAACATGCAGGTACGTATTTTCTTCTCAATATTCAGCAGTTTTCTCACAATTTTTTTAATAGCAAATCTTACATTAAGTGCTTTCCACAGTGATATTGTTGGAAACTACTGGGCCGATTCTCCATTGTCCATTCTTCCTATTTACAGGGAGCTCATAGCAGCTGGTCTTAGGATATGGGTATTCAGGTAATCCGGCCACTTTACCAACTCCTGATCCCCAGTTCCCTGAATTTATATGATTCAAGGGACTAGTTTTGTTGCATGTTTGGAAACTTGATGGTAACTTGTACAATTTACTTTGCTCACTGAAAATCAGTTTTCCCAGAAGCACATTTCCTTTAAATTTATAGGCTGGAATAAACAAATATAATGATTTGCTGAATCAAAATTCCGGTACTTCTCATGTTTATCTACAAAAGGAACCTGACGGTCACTGTTATTATGCTTGCTGTTGTCGCAGGGTTTAAAGTTTAAAGAGGCTAGCTATTAGTATTATTTTAGTTTTTTTTCGGGTTTGTGTTTTATGCTTGCTAATGGTTAAATTTGCAACGTGTATTCTGCGTAGAATCCCAGATTTCCTCCATCATTTCTTCTTTTCTCGGTTTTACTGTGCATCCTGTAGCTGACATGGCTATTAATGAACTCTTTGTCCAGTGGAGACACTGATTCGGTGGTTCCTGTGACTGCAACTCGTTACTCCATAGATGCTCTGAAGCTACCAACCATTACCAACTGGTACCCATGGAACAACAACGGAAAGGTTAGTGCTATCGACGAAGTGTTGTTTAGAATAGAACCTGAAACTTAAATTGCAATTTCATGTTTTTTATTTTAGTTTCAACCAATAGACTTGATAGCCTTTTACATGCGATATCTTTCGTTGATTGGATATATCCTTTTCCTACCATATATCTTAATAATTCTGCAGTATATTTATGTAATCCATACGACATAGCATTGGTACAAAACATGGAAGTTGGTGTGGTAATCACCGTAAATAGTCATCAACTATCTTCTCTAATGTGTTAAGATGATAGTTTTGAGGTGTTCACTTATGTGGTACCAGTTATCTGTGGCACTGCACAAACATTGCAATCTTCTGTTGTTACTTGTTTGGCACTGGGAATTTGTTGGATGAGTTCCCAAATGTATGAACCCTAGGATCTGCTGGATATGCACTTTCATGTTAAATACATGGTGTTGGCTTGATGGTTTACCATGTCCTCCTACTTCGGGGAACTGAGATTAGCTTTCTCTGCATGGGTCAATAGCATCTATATATCCCTAAGCGGGTTTTGGGTGTTCAGTTTTCTGGCCCCCTCTGTACTTTTTGTGTTAATGAAATTATCAAACGCATGGTGTTGGCTTCTACTGTTACACAAGGATCGGTAAATTAGCATGTTAACCTTGAAAATTTGGTAATCTTCGGTTGGTCACTGATTTTGTATTGGGAAACCTAATATTTCATCTTCTCAAAAGCTCTCGTTCTCTTGCTTATATAGGTTGGTGGCTGGAGCCAAGTATATAAGGGGCTGACATTTGTCACTGTGACCGGAGCAGGGCACGAGGTTCCCCTCCACCGACCCCGCCTAGCTGTCATCCTTTTCCGATCATTCTTGGCGAGCAAGGCAATGCCAAGTTAGATCCATTCAATCTTACTCACATATTCTTCATGAATAAGCACACAAACATCTGGAATTGCAGCAATTGTTCATACACAGGGACCTAGAAAACACAAAATAAGAGAAGCATTCCTCTCGAGTGCCCCTCCATTCTTGCCGCGAGCAGCGCCATTTTATAGCTCGTTTATCGAGAAGTACGAACAGTTAACGAGTAAACATTGGAGTTGTTCTATACATAAATATATGGATTAAGCAATGCACAGTGTTAAAGGCGGGGTAGATGCTTGATTTCTTGGGATCCAAGAAATAGTGGATTATAATTTGGATGGATGAGTTAAATCCGCTGTGGTCATGTTATACAAGTCAAAAGAGAAAAAGTCAACACTTGTATTCGTCTCTCAAAACTTGGGATTTGTTTAATACAATGAAGATCTCATGAACATGTTATGGCAGCCTGTTTGGCCCCTCGGAAAATTAAGTTTACTTTGGACTATGGACCTACCAAATCATTTCACAATGACAGAGATCCTCTCCGAATCTCTTCCATCAAAGCTCATGGATCAAATGATCCCGGCCTTTAAAATTTGATTAAATGGCTAAAAACAAAGACTACGTTTAAAAGTTATAATAATTTTAGCATTTGGATCAAATTTTAACGACCTAGATCACTTGATCCGTGCAATTTGGTGGAAGAGATCCAGAGAGGATCTCTTTCCATTTCACAATATATATGCATTCCAAATTTTCAATAAAATCTTAGATTGAAAATCAGAGCATGATTCTTTTAATTGCCAAGTGAGGTGGGTGAGAAGCTAAAAGTTATATGAGAAAATCATCTCCAAGTTAATGCAGCAGAAATTAATACAGTTGTATACTATTTAGTTAGTGATATATAAAATCTTATTGGGGACATATATGTGGCACTACTATTTTTACACACAAAAAATGTGGGGTTTCTTCTTCATGTATTTTTACGATAGGCGTTTATATTTTGGGTCTTCTCGTAAAGATTATGTCTGCCAAAAGTAGTTTAAAACCATATGAATGTTGGATTAAGAGTTTAGGGTTTATTTGTAGAATGTTATTCATCTATTTCTTTCATTATAAATAAATGTCTTAATTGTTTTAAATTTGTCTAATTTTTGCAAGTATAATCTATTAATGATGTTCTAAAAGATAAAACTGTTTGGACCGTTATAATATATTACGAAATTGACCTAAAAAAAAAAAGTGTATAAACTATGGTGTGAAAAATAGTAATGCCACATAAAGTTCGTACGGATCATGGGTGGGCCAGCCAGGAAATGGCTCTCTCCAAGAATCGGGTTATATAACTATGGCTCATTACCAATGGCTAGATAACTGGAGCCCACATCAAGGCCTTGTGTTTTTGTGACTCAAGGTGGGCCTCTGTGCTCCCCTAAGGCTTTGTGGTGAGATCAACTTGTATGACTTGAGTATATAGTTACAGTTACGTTTCATGTCAATAATACAAGGAAATTTGGACAAAAAACTAACATATGTTCCTGTATTAATGACATGGAACGGCATACTACTAGATAAAGGGAAAACGTAAAGACTACCATTTAAGTAGTTCAAGCAAGATTTACCGTAGCAATGTACCCGTATCATATAAAACATCCTCGGGGATCCAGGGAGGTCAGGCGGTGTTATGTACATTTGTGGTTAATGGTCGTGATACAAGTTCATGATGGAGAAAAAAAAATTGTTTCTCTTTCCATATAGGTTTGGTTGGTGGGTGCAAAATGGAAGAGAAATCAACAAAGAATACAATTATTGTTTCATATGGATGTGACTTTGATCTAGAAAATCTATACATGTACGTAAAACCATATCTTTAAAGTGTACAGAGTTAAAATGTTTGGTGGTGCTACATGCATTATAAAACATCATTATTGCAGGCGATGAATTCCGCTAGTGGCATCCTATTCAATCTGTTGTGTTCTGAATTTAAACACTTTATTCTTTACTTATTGTCGCTTATAATTATAATATGACTTGTAATAAAAAATATCGTTATTATAATTCTATTCATGACGTACTTGAGGATTAGAAACTTCATGCCAAAGTGGATCACCATTATTATATCATTGAAGTGCCAAATTAATTAAAGATTATTAGAAACTTTAGGGGGTGTAGTTAAATTAAGATTTTAAAGGATTTTAAAAGTGATACATTTGATAGGATTTAAGAGGATTAAAGACTCCTACAAAATTTATATGGATTTTTAAAGAATTTTAATGGATTATGGTGGATTATGGTGGAAGGATTTGAAATCCTAGGGGGTGAGGTTGAATTCTTTTTAGTATTGGTTATATATACTTTTGTCTCTCAAATCCCACAAATTCCACAACTTATTGAAATCCTCTAAAATCTTAATTTTTTGAAGAAGCTTAGATTTGGATGGATTTTAAAATCCTTTAAAATATTTTAATTGACTACACCTAGATTTTAAAGGATTCTAAAATCCTTTAATTGACTACACCTAGATTTGAATGGATTCTAAAATCCTTTAAACTCTTTTAATTGACTACACTAAGATTTTAAAGTCTTTTAAAATCCTCTCAAATCATAGTTTGACTACACCCCTTAGTTAATTGGGAAACTTTTCCATTAAGAAAACTGGTGTCAATTGGAGCTGCAATGCCCATCCTTTCTATTCTAATTAATTAATATATATTCTGATATTTCCATTCCTTGGTGCCAAAGTCATGTCCTAATCCTGCTTGAGATCAATGTGATCGATCATTCTTTTTAAAAGAAGCTTAAAATGGGTCCATCCATGCACCACACAAAAGCAAAAGCAACTCACTCCTTTCCTGCACAACATTCTGTAATTACCCAAATGCATGTCGAGCTATTATATATTCCTTTCTTGCCTTAGGACAATGTATAATGAACTGATTCCTCCTCGACTCTTCAGCTATGAGTTTCTCAGAAGCCTATCATAGGAGAGCAATTTCAATAACACGGGTATATCGTACTGTGATGTCATATGTCAATAATGATTGTATAAATTCTCTAAGCACTGATGTTATTCATTAACACGTGACAGAATAACAGTGTGCCCATGTTAGACCGAACAGTAGAAGGACACTTTAGTCAATGACTAATCAAGTATCAATAATTTAGTTATATAATGTACACTACTTGAATTAAAGTTTATGAATACATAAATATTTATGGAAAGCAAGAGCAATTGGGATAAGCATTTTGAATTCTTGAAGCTTTTTTCTGCACCAAACACAAAGTAAAGCAATGCCATTTCCACCCATTTAAAGTGAAAGAAACTAAGACTAAGAGTACTACTACACAAACACACGAGAAGAACACACAAAAAGATTGTGAAGAGAGAGAGAGAGAGAGAGATGTACAGGCTCAGTAACACAGTGATAGGGTTCTTGAACCTCGTCACTCTCTTAGCATCAATTCCGATAATCGCTGCAGGTCTATGGATGTCAAGGAGCAGCACCACATGTGAAACTTTCCTCCAAACTCCACTTTTGGTGGTAGGTTTTGTGGTGCTCGTGGTATCCCTAGCTGGGTTCATTGGTGCCTGCTTCCATGTGGTATGGGCACTCTGGGTGTACTTGGCGGTGATGCTGCTGCTGATTGCAACCCTAATCGGTTTGACAGTGTTTGGGTTTGCGGTTACAAGCAAAGGTGCTGGAGTGGAGGTGCCTGGTAGGGTTTATAAGGAATACCACCTTGAGGATTACTCACCATGGTTGAGGAATAGGATTAAGGATCCTAATTATTGGAGTAAGATTAGGAGTTGCATCATGGGGTCTAAAACTTGTGCTAAGATTGTTGCTTGGACACCTACCGATTATCTTCAAAGGGACATGTCTCCAATACAGGTAATATAAGTACGTACGTACATACATACATACATACATACATACATATACATACACATATATATATATGTATGTATTTGTTTAAATAGTAATCTACAATTGCTAGCTATTTAAATTCTTTGTTCTTGTATGTGTGGGATTGTGTTTTTCCATACCCTCCTATTTATAATTAACATCAATTGCAAGATTGTTTTCTTCAAATTTGGTTCATGTTTTATTATTTATTTATTTGTTTCACAATAGCAATAAAATTGTTAATGCTTGTTTCCTTTATTCATAGTAATAGTTTATTTATATTCAAAATTAATTAGTGACACTGATTTAGGTAGGATTTATGGTTGAAGAATAATTAGATATATAAAAATATGAAATCATATAGTTTTTTTTTTTTTTTGGTATAAAGATTTGAAGTTAATGAAATATGTTTCTCATGTTTAAGATAGGTTTTCTTAGAAAAAGAATGAAAAAGTATAGAATTAGCTTTCTTTTTGATGATAGAAAAGTTTCGAAAGTAAAGACTTAGCTCTTTCGATCTAAAGCTTGTAGTAGTTAAATAGTTTTGGGTCTTTTTACAGCTTGTAGTATTTAAATTATATTTTTGGTGCATCTGTGCAGTCTGGTTGTTGCAAGCCTCCAACTTCATGTAATTACGAAATGGCAACCACAGTGACTCAAGACCAAGATTGCTACCGTTGGAACAATGCGCCCAATTTGTTATGTTATGAGTGTGATTCATGCAAAGCTGGAGTTCTTGAAGATATCAAGAGGGACTGGCACAAGATCTCTGTCCTCACCATTGTCGTGGTGGTTGTTCTCATTGGAGTATATTCAATTGGTTGCTGTGCTTTCCGCAACGCAGAACGAGCTGAAACGGATTATCCATATGGTCATAACAGGATGAGTAAAATCCGCCCCCGATGGGACTACCATTGGTGAGTTTAGTCCCATTGGTGAGTTTATAGTTAAGTGAACATAATTTATGTGCTTTGCCTGAATTTGAATTAGTGATGATGCTAATTTTGTTTGAGCATGCGATTTAAATTAATTTAGGAAACTAAATATTGGCAAGAAATCATAATCCTTGAGTTAATAATACTCTACCACCAAACTCATACAATTGGGCATTTCTTTATGCTTTTGAAGATTACAAATATTAATGTGAAAATTATGCAAAAATCAAAATTTTCCAAAAGGAACTTTAGTTGCTAATAAAAACAAAAAAATAACCGTAAAAAAGATGTGAAATCCTGAAACATGGTAAGAGGTTTTTTTTTTTTTTTTTTTTTTGTTTTTTTTGTTTTTTGTTTTTGGTAACTGAAACATGGTAAGAGTTTGGTAAGTGTTTGCAAAATTAAAAGGGATTCTCTTCGGATTCACGATGGAAGAGGATTCTCTCCAGATCCCTTCTAGCTTTAAATATGCAGACCCACTTAAGGCTTTCAGATTTGGATTCTCTCCTAGGCTAATGGAGAGGATCTTCATGACCAATCATCGTGGGTCGTTGGATTTTTAGCCAACGGCTACAAACAAGGGTCCATTTAAAATTATAATGATTGTAGCCGTTGGATAAAAATCCAACGGTCCATAATAATTGGTCAGGAGGATCATCTCTATTAGCTCAGGAGAGGATCCAAATCCTACCTCTTTTTCGATCTAACTTGCTAAGCAATGCTTTTTGGTAATTTACTTATTTTCTTTTGCAGGTGGAGAAACTGGCATCACAGAAGAGAGCAGCTTTATTAGTTGAAAGAAACTCTTATCTTCTACTGGTTATTGTAAATCTTATTGTTAGGTGTGCTTAAAGATGGGACAATTCAGTGGTTTTTCCAGTGCATTCGAAATTGGAGAGCTCTGATCAAATTTTCTTTTGTTTTTGTACAGACTTTTTTAATTTAGTTTTTTTTTTGTTTTTGTTTTTTTTTTTGTTGTAAAAAGATGGATTTTACTTTTTTCTTATCTCTGCCTTTCTTTCCCTACTTTATTTTGTAAAATATCATGCCATTGCTAATGTATATCATTTCCTTTATTTTCCTTCCTCACTGCCGTTTGATGGTGGTGTAGTATTTTTATATTATACAGAAACATAAAACTACTAAGTTTTCAAATAAAAAAAAAAAAAAACCAAAAAACTACTAAAGCGGGTTGAGGTATATGCAACGGACAACTTGCTTATTGAGCATAAGCTCAATGTTGGAGCGACAAGTTTGCAAAAGAATATAGAAGAAACTAGGAACATGGGTTCGGTCTAGGTAACCGATTGTTTCCAGGGTTGAAATGATGAAAAATAAAACCTAAAGCCCGAGAGTTAAGCTCTAAAATCTATGCAGGAAGTGAATGCTAATTGGCCGAACAAAAGGAAAAATATCAAAACTTTGACGATTAAGATGAAAAACTAGACATTAACGTCCAAATAAGATAACATCCATATAAATTATATTGGACAAGAATTCCCAAATAGATAGCTTCTCAATTGTTAACTCAACCATGGAATTTTTATATTTTCATGCAATAACATATGTGATAGGTTTGCTGATAAGTATGAACCATTAGGAGGTGGTGGTCCATAGGAGTGGGCATAAAAACCGCTAAACCGGAAAATCGCATCAAACCTTGACAAAAAAAAAAAAACGTAAAAAATTGCGTTGACCAAAAAAGTCAAAACCGGAACAAAAATCGAATCGAACCATTTCAAACGGTTCTAGTACCGGTTTGGAAATATTAAGAATCGGAGGAACCGGCGTTTTTAATATAAATTATTGTTTTATTATCATTTTTATATAAATAAGACATTTTTCCAAGAAGACCATGTGCATAAGCCCAATATTTTTCTTCACTTCTCTTCCCATCCTTAGTTGTTTTATCACTTTTCTCCCATTACATTATTTTTCTCCATTCTTTTCTAGTATATTATGCATTATGTACATTTTAGTTTTAGTTTAAGATCTACACTTTGGTCTTGATATGAGTCTTTCTATCTTTTGATTTATATTTATATGCACATTTTCTATCATCTGGTCACAAATCTTGTAGATCTAGTAGTGGAAACTCTAAAAAATTAGAAAAAACATATATATAATTTTGGTTAGAACTGTAAACCGGCATGAACCAAATTGGAACCGTCATGAACAGAACCACACGGTTTTAGTAATAAATTTAAGTGGAACTGCACCGAACCGAACCGTTGAAATTTTTCGATTTCGGTTTCATTTTGAGGGTGGAACCGGGCCGAACTGGATCGTGATCACCTCTAGTGGTCCATGCCATGCATTACTGTTAGACAAATAAGGAATATGGTTAGAGTCCTTGTGTAATTGTATATAATATTATTCACTAGCCGTCCTACAACCGTCAAGCCGTCCTACAGCCGTCCTACCTTGTCCTACCTACACACTAGCCGTCCTACAGCCGTCAAGTTGTCCTACAGCGGTCCTACCTTGTCCTACCTACACACTTGTATCATGTATATATATCCTTGTAATCTTGTAGAGGAAGATAATGAGAAAAAAAGCATTCTTTTCCATTTTTTTCCACATTCACGTATCAATAACAAATATATTTTTTAGTCTACATACCTTTTTCTACATGGTATACAGAGCAGGTTTATAACCCTAGCCCTAATTTTTTTTCGGCAGCTTTCTCTACCGTTCCCATGGCTGACTCTTCTTCTTCTGATGGTGTTTTTTCCCTTCATCATTCCGACCACCCGAATCTTGTCCTTGTATCCAAGAAGTTGAATGGTGATAACTACACATCCTGGGCCCGTGGCATGCAGCTTTCCTTGAGTGCCAAGAATAAACTTGGTTTCATCACTGGCGATATCCAAGAACCTTCTTCCTCCGACGACCCTGATGCTCACGCGGCTTGGCGTCGTTGCAATGACATGATTCTCTCTTGGCTTCTGCATTCCTTGGAACCTGACCTTCAAGAATCTGTGCTTTTTTCCACCTCTGTCCAAGCTGTATAGGATGATCTTCGCGAACGCTTCTCTCAGAGTAATGCTCCACGCATCTTCCAACTCAACCGGAAACTTGCTACAATTTCTCAAGGTTCTTCTTCTATCTCCGCCTATTTTACTCGTCTGAAAGCTCTCTGGGATGAGCTTGCTTCTTATAATGATGGCTGCACGTGCTCTTGCAACGCCAAGCATGACCGTCAACAACTCATGCAATTTTTAATGGGCCTCAACGAATCCTTTGCTGCTGTTCGTGACCAGATTCTTTTAATGAATCCCCTCCCCACTGTTCGTCAGGCTTGTTCCTCGGTGTCTCAAGCTGAAAAACAACGCTCCCTGGGTGTCCTCCGCTCTGTCGATCAACCTGCTGCCATGGCTGTTCGTGGCCCGTCCCGTCCCCACTGCTTCCAGTTCTTCCCGCAGCCATGCACATTCCAGTCCTCCCCGGCAGCCACGGTTTTCTACTTCCCGGCCCCATAATTTCACCCAGGCCCATCACTTGCAAGGCACCCAGGCCCCCGCCTCCTTTTCTACTCCAGCGACCCACCAAGTGCACGGGGCCCAGCCCACTTTGCATGACTTGCAGCTTGCCATGCCTGACCTCTCTGCCGAGCAGCACTCCCGTGTTCTAGCCGCTCTACGTGACACCACCACCCCTCCTCAGGCCAATGCCGTGCTCACTACTGATTTTGCCCAAGGTTTGTTACCTGTCACCTCTCGTCATGGTCAATGAATTCTTGACAGTGGTGCTACGGATCATATTACTTCTTCCGCCTCATGTTTGGTTAATCGTTCTCCTTCACATTTGCCGCCTGTTTCTTTGCCTAGTGGTGCTTCCGCTCCCATTACTTTTACCGGCACTCTTCCTTTAAATTCATCAGTTACTTTGAAGGATGTTTTATGTGTCCCTAATTTTCGAGTGGACCTTTTATCGGTTGGTAAACTTACAGATGGATTATCGTGTTCCATAACCTTCTTTCCTTCTTGGTGTGTTTTGCAGGACTTGGTTTCGAAGGCGATGATTGGTGTGGGTAAGCGACGTGGCGATCTGTATTACCTTGTGGCCCTTACCTCTTCTCTCCCCACCCGTCAACCTCTCTGCAACATCATTACCATCCCCTCCTCCCTCTGGCATAGGCGTCTTGGTCACCCCTCATCCACTCGTTTGTAAGCTTTAGCATCTAGCTCTCTTAATTGTCCTTTTGATTCTAGTCATATTTGTGATGTTTGTCCGTTGGCAAAACAAACTCGTCAACCTTTTCTTTTGAGTTCAATTTCATCAACTTTCCCTTTTGCTTTAATTCATTGTGATATTTGGGGCCCGAATCGTCAATCTTCTCTTTCTGGTGCTCATTATTTCTTAACCATTGTGGATGATTTTTCTCGCTTTACGTGGGTCTTCCTCATGAAACATAAATCCGACACTCAACAATTAATTAAAGATTTTTTTGCTTATGTCACTACCCAATTCCGCACTACCATCCAATGCATTCGTACTGACAATGGTGGTGAATTTTTATCTCTTCGTAGTTTTTTCTCTGATCATGGGGTGCTTTTACAAACTTCTTGTGTTTATCCCCCCAACAAAATGGCGTTGTTGAAAGAAAACATTGTCATTTTCTTGAAACCGCTCGTGCCCTTCGTTTTCAATCCCATATTCCTATCAAGTTTTGGGGGGGAATGTGTTTTTACCGCTACTTATCTCATCAATCGTCTCCCTACCCGTCTTCTCCATCATAAATCCCCATTTGAGGTTCTCTTTTCGCAAACCCCATCTTATGACCACTTCCGCGTCTTTGGTTGTCTGGCATATGCCACCTCTGTCACTCCCACCACCAAATTTTCCCCTCGGGCTCATCGTTGCATTTTTCTCGGTTATCCTCGTGGACAAAAGGCCTATACCCTTTATGATCTCGACAATCACCGCATTTTCACTAGTCGAGACGTCATCTTTCACGAAACTACTTTCCCTTATGCCGTTTCTCACCCTCCTATCCCATCCTCTTCGCCTACCCTACCTATCCCACCCCCTCTGGACTTTACATATAACCCACCCCTTCCTGCCCCGACGCCTCACCCTCCTCCACCTTCCTCCCCTTCCACGCCTCCCACAGATTCCCTTGCTGCCCCATTACCCGTTCCTCCCCATGCCCCTTTACCCACGGACATCCCTACTGTTGGAAATGTGCCCTAAAACCAATCATATGATGATACTTTACGGACATTTCAAACTAATGTAGTTTAAATGTAAAGGGCAAAGATTATTGTTTGAGCCGTCTCATATAAATGTTATATGCTTAAACGATAAGTCCAAGGAATATGTGATTGGAAGAATGCGATCTAAAGAAGTTAGATTCATGAGACCATTCTTTCGTTGACACATCCTAAACGTTCCTGATCATAGGATTGTCAATTGGGCATTGACAGTCCGTTAAGATCAGTACGTGCTATGTCTTCTCTCAGGGAGAGTGACTAGTCTCGAGTCATTGGTGTGTGTGACATCAAGACAAGTACGTAGGTGCTCAATAGAGAATGAGTTCACTGAACACGATCAACGAAGAGTTCTCATATTCATGTCACATGAGAATTAATGGTTGGGATAATGCAAATTAGTCTTTTGACCTGAGGCATCACAGTTGTCTTGTGGTTAGGTCCTTAATCTTTGATTATGTCAAAGTCACTCCATCAGGAGGGTGTCCACGGCATCGTTGGGGTTAAGCCACTTAGCCATGGAGGCAAGTGAATGCGCAACAAGGGATCTCTAACCTTCAAACTGTTTGAGGGAGAATACTCTATGATATGATTAAGAATCTTTGGCCAAAGTATGAATGAGATTTAGGAATGTGTTCCAAATCACATTCAAGGTAATCATATAAGCACAAGACTCACATTGGATAGTAGACATGAATAAACTATCAAACCAAACAATGTGGTCAACAGTATTGTATTAGAGAAAGACCGTATTGCATTTGTAATCCTAAAACTGAATAGGTTCTCCACCTCTTCTGATTAGCTTGGGTAACCATGACATGCTGCTAGGCGTCAACCATGGTTTGTGGAAGCCCTAAAAGTGT